AAGACAATTTAAAAAACAATTATATCTATTGCTGTGTGGGGGGAAGTTTTGCTGAGTGTATGTAGGTCAACCATGAGCATGCAATGCCTGCAGGAACCAGAAAAAAGATTTGGATGCTTAGGAACTGAATGTAGGCCAGCCAAGTGAACACTAGAAACAAAACCCAAGTCTTCTGAAAGAACAACCAGTGCTCTTAACTACTGAGTCATATCTCCAGACCCATGATTCAGATATTTTAATGAAAATGTTACACTCGAAAATTTTCACCTCAAGTTTCATCTAGAGAAACTGGTTCTTTTCAATGATTAGAAGAATTTAACAAAGGAAAGTTATATGAAAATTTAAAGTTTGATATTGAGGTCTCTTCAATAGAGAAGACAAAAAAAGTGATTTCCTTTTGTTATATGTCAGAGTTTTCACACTGGGAATTTTTATGACATCCTACATGAAATTTAAATCATGTTAATCTTTCAAAAAGTATTTTTAATCTAGGCAGGCTGAATTATACTTGGTATTACCAATTATATTTGTCTGATTATCTCCTAAAGGAAAGATACACTTTTCAAACACACACATGCTCTAATGCCATTTATTTCAATATAATTGTATAATTTTAGTCATTTATTAAAATTTTCATTTAGTTAATTTTAAATTATTATATATTTCCAGGTTATATTCTTTGTCAACCTAGAAATTTTTAATTCTTCTTGCATGTCAAATGTACATATATGTTTCTATGTATGTTTAAAAAGTATACACATTTTCTCTCATGTTAATTTTTTAAAAATATATTTATTGGATTTTTTTATATTTTATACAATGCATCTCAATCATATTTACTCTCCTTTCCTCATTTACTCCTCACCAGATTTCATGAATTGAATCCTATATTTAAAACCCATTGAGTCCAGTTTGTGTACCCGATGTCACTTGGTGTAAGTTGATCCACTGGGGCTTAGTCAGGCTATCTGGTGTCACTCCTTTAAAAAAGATGAACTTTCCCTCACTCAACAGTGATCAGTTGCCGATAGTACCTCACCTAAGTTTGGGGATTTCAGTTGAGTTCCCCTGTTCTCTGCTGAATTTCTTTTATGATTGAGTGTGCATGGGTCTTGTTCATGTTGTAACCATTGTTGGAAGTTCATATGAGGAAGTTCCCAAAAGCCTGGAAATTCTATTTCCTTGAGGTCATTCATCATCCTTGGCTTTTCTCATCTTTCTGTCTCTCTCTTCGGCAATGGTCCTCGAGTCCTGGATGGAAGAGGTTTAATATGAGCCTAATTCATAGACACGCACCCTACAGTCTCTTACTCTCCACACTTTGTCCTGTTGTGGCCATCTCTGTTAATCACCTTCTGTTGTATGAGGAGCCTTAACTTGTAAGAGTTGAGAGATGCGTTAGTATTCCTTTCAACGCTTGCTCTGTGAGCCTTAGGTTTAGATGTTCCATTGTATATGTGTCACTTAGTGGGTATTCCTTTCAACGCTTGCTCCACTATGCTCTGTGAGCCTTAGGTTTAGATGTTCCATTGTATATGTGTCACTTAGTGCTGGGCCTCTCACAGACACTTATATGAAAAAATAGAGTCATATATAAACTCCATGGTTCATTTTTATAAATAGTTATTATCCATGAGTTGGGTCATTTACAATGTATGACCTATACTTTTCAGATCCAAAAGAATTCTTAAATATATGAAGATATTTTCACTATTTTTGAAATGCCTAAGAAAATTACTTCGAATTAAGGAAAATACTGAGGAGAATAGAAAAAAAAATCATAAGGGATTTGTAATCAGTGAACAAAAATGAAAACCAGACTTATTTTGGATAGTCGATATTTGGAAAAATAATGTACCTTTGTAAGTAAAATGAAATAAATTCAATGTGAATTAGTAAGCTCTCTTTAGAGTATAAGTATTACCTTTTTCACTGTGTTTCTGTATTTTATGCCCATGTGAGTTCAACGTATATTCATTATAATGAGGACTGAGTACCGTTGATAATACAAATACCCCAGGGCTTCAGAAATATAACCTACAATCAAAATCTCACATGGGACCATGTTACCCAATTGCATAAACTGTAGCTTCCCTGGCAAGTTTTCAGTGATAATCTCTAGTTTCCAGGTCCCCAAGCCTTGATGCCGTATATATGTGACATAGTTTTGTAACAGTATTTAAAGTTTAGATGGAATGTTTGATCTGGCATTTCGTAGTTTTCCAGATAAGGTAGCTACACCTCATATGAAACACTCTGAAATACACTGCGGACTGAATTTCCTTCAGGTCTCTTACTGTTTATAAGATCTGGTAACCAAGAGCAGTTTGTAGTGCATTAACCTTAGCTAAGGATTCTTAAGTAAATGCATCACACAGAGGCTTCTGTTTTTGGGTGAGTGTATTCACTTCTATTTAATTCATATGAGTGAATAGTGAGATCTAGTGTTCTTTGTAGAGGAAAAGACAGAGTTGTATATCCTAACCTTTTATATATAACTTACTTTTCTAAGGAAGAAATCCTTGGAAATCTATGAAATTTTTCCTGGTTTACTAATTTATATACTTTTATGCCTGTCACTGAATTCAGCATATTAACAACTAATAATAATGATGAACTTGAATCTTATAATTTTTGTTGAGGTCAGTGAGACTCATCTGTAAACAGAGATTGCAAAAAGTACAACGTAGCATAGGCCTGCAGTTTCATCACTTGAAAGATTGAGACAGGGCATTATGATTTCCATTCCATCCTCAAGCAGTGAGCGGGAATCCAGCCTTGGCTACTATGTCATTTGAAGTCAAGACTTGACTACAAGAGATCCTGTCTCAGAAAAACTAAGAGAAATGAAAGATAGCGTAGATTTTGGTAAATGGTAGAAAGTATGTTGTTTAAATACACATAGAGGGGAAGAAAGTAAAGCTAATATTTGTCATAACAAGATGGTGAGATAATCCATTATAATATGGAAAATAGAAATGAAAATTAAAGTTTTCCAATTAACAGGTGCTAAGTAACCATTTGTTAAATATTCCCAAGGTCAGAGAAGAACGTGTTAGTTATACCAGGATTAAATATTTATAGGTGGATTATTTGGAAAAGTCAGAACTGTGTACATTTCATGTTTAATTAGTAAACGATTTGCAGTTCCCAAAAGTGCCACTGCCACATGTGTGTGATTGTGTAAATTATTTTCAACAGCTCACAGATTATTTTTAGTGATTAAAATTGTTCTTTGTCAATATCAAATTATTTGGAACATTCTGTTTATTCTTATCACTCACATTCTTTTATTTACTCCTTACCCCTGTTGGCCATCCTCCCCCAGCTCATTCTTAAAGTCCTCCTTCCCACATTCATGTCTTTTTTTTTTTTTTCAGTCCTCTGATTGCTATCAAGATCTTCTGTGTGGCAACGAGTTTTGAAATATTCATTGGAGCCTGGTCAGCTTACACTTTGGTGCAAAATTGAAAACACTGACCATCCTTCCACTAGACTCCATCTACAGTCCCTTGTAGTTTACCAGGATGGAAATGGGCCCCATGAAATCCTCTCTGATCTTTCATTGGCTGTCGAGGGGCCCAGTTGGTCCCTAAACAGGCAATTGTAGCTTCTGTGAGATCATGTTTTCCAAGGCTATGTGTGTCAGGCCCTGAGGATAGCGTTTCCCATCCCTTCTTCCTGTCTTCAGTCTTTTCCATGCATTCTGTTCCCTCCACTACAAAGCTCCCTGAGTCTTACAGGAAATGAGATAAATGACATATTCTATCCAGTGCTGAGACCTTAACTATCATTTAGTCTCTGAAAGCTGAGCTGTCAGGGATAGCTGACTTTACTGATGTTCACTTCATGGATGTAAACTTCACTGCTTAAGGTTGAAAATAGCATTTGATAAACAATTTTATGAAATAGGAGTGGGTCTGAAAATAGAACCAGAATGCAGCACTGTAGTGATGAACCTTGATGACTATGGAGGGGAATTTTCAGAAATTGTTTGCTTGATAACTACTGTTCATCCAGACAAAATTCTGTTCTATCCTGAGGAGAATGATAAAAATATGTACAGGCCAGTGAAAGAAAAAGTTACGTTCCTTGACAAACTTTCCAGAAGAGATCTTGACTGCTTGTACAATAATATGTCAGTTATACTATACTGTGTGTCTTCTACATATCACACTATCAACCTTTAAATTCATAAGAAAACTTCCTTCTCTCTTTTTTTTGATTATAAAAAATATTTGTGTGTATGCATGTGTGTTTGTGTGTTTGTGTGTGTGTGTATGTGTGTGTATGTCTATGTCTGTGTGACTGTGTGCCACATTTGACAGGAAACACGGAGGTGAACAAAGGGTGTCTGATCTCCTTGAGGTGGGGTTACAAACTGTTGTAAGCTGCCTGGCATGACTGCTTGGTACCAAGCTTGGGTCATCTGAACAGTACTAAAGTGTTTAACTGCTGAGATTTCTCTTCAGACCCATTCTTTTTAAAATTAATATTAGTGAAATCATATTTACTCCTGAAATAATCACTAATCACATCCTAGATTATGGAGTATACTTTTTGAAGTAAGTCTCTGTTTTGGCTTTTTTTTTTTTTTTTGCAAAGCTTTAAACTTAATAAAATGTTTAGGTAAATCTTTCTTAAAGGTAGTGTACTAGAAAAGTACTTTTCATTCGCTGTTGATTTTTAATTATTTTATCACTTTGAAATTGCATGTACTTTTCTCTCATCACAATATAATGTTTAGCATAGTACTGTATTGACGATATAACTTCGTGTTTTAAATATTTTGGTTTTCATACGTATGAGTATATTGCTTGCATGTATGTGAGAGTCCCTGTGTTGTGCAATGTTGGTGGAGATCAGAAGAGGCCATCAGATTCCCTGAAGCTGGAGTTATGGATGGTTGTTACCTGCCATTTGTGTACTGGGAATCGAACTGGAGTCCTAACTGTCTCTCCAGCCACAGAAGCTTCCAATTTTTTTATGACAGCCTCAACATGAATGAAAATATTGTGCAAATTGCCAGAGTGTATGCTCATAACATGAAGTACAGTAAGTTACCTGATGAACAAAACCATCCAAATGTTAAACATTTCTTTTGCATTGCTTTTCTTTGAGACAGAGTCTCACACATGTCGGGCTTGCCCCACAATTGTGATCCATCTCCTTTAGCACAACTATGGGATTACCAGCCAGTAGAAATGAATCACATTTTTTTTGCAAAAAAAAGTGCTGAGATAATGACAAAGATGCAGCAGTAAAGAAACAGCAGAGTTCTGAGGTTTATTTACTGAGAAAGAATGGTGTCCTCTACTTTCAGATTCATATAATTTCTTGAATGTCCATTCTAACTAAGCCAGGGGTCTAAGGTACCAGTGAACTTCTTAGTTTAAAAATATTAATCAGTAGACTCTATTTTCTTTTTACTATCATAATTATCTGTTAAGTAAGTTAAACTGAAAATATTACAAACTGATTAGTATAGAACTGGGAACTTGGCATTTAAAATTATAAATTTTAACACTCATGAAATTTTCCTGTATCCCTTCCTTTCTCTTCCCTATTATCAATATTAGTCCTGACCTTGGTGGATCAACTTTTCTCTTTTCTCCTCAGTATTCTACAGAATCAGACCTCTGAGGCCACCTTCATCCTCGTGGGCTTCTCAGAATTCCCTGACCTCCAGCTGCCCCTGTTCCTTCTGTTCCTGATCATCTATGCAGTTACTGTGCTGGGGAACCTGGGCATGATTACCATCATCAGAGTCAATCCCAAGCTCCACACCCCCATGTACTTCTTCCTTAGTCACTTGTCCTTGGTTGATTTTTGCTACTCTACTGTGGTAACTCCCAAACTATTGGAAAACTTGGTTGTGGAAGACAGAACCATCTCCTTCGCGGGCTGTGTCATGCAATTCTTTTTTGCATGCATATTTGTGGTGACAGAAACGTTCATGCTGGCAGTGATGGCTTATGACAGGTTTGTAGCTGTGTGCAACCCTCTCCTCTACACTGCTGTGATGTCTCCGAAGCTCTGCTGGTCATTGGTATCTGTGTCCTACACCTGGGGAATAATCTGTTCCTTCATATTCATATACTTTTTGTTGACTTTATTCTTTTGTGGGACAAAGTTCATAAATAACTTTGTCTGTGAACATTCTGCCATTGTTGCTGTGTCCTGCTCTGATCCCTACCTTAGTCAGAAAATCCTTTACATTTTTGCCACCTTTAATGAAATAAGCAGTCTGGTGATCATTCTCACCTCCTATATTTTCATTTTTATAACTGTCATGAAAATACCAGCCACCGGAGGGCGCTACAAAGTCTTCTCTACCTGTGCCTCCCATCTCATGGCCATCTCCATTTTCCATGGCACTATCCTCTTTCTCTACTGTGTTCCCACCACCAAAAGTTCATGGCTTCTGGTCAAGGTGGCCTCTGTCTTCTACACAGTTGTCATCCCCATGCTGAACCCAATGATCTACAGCCTCAGGAACAAGGATGTGAAGGAGACAGTTAGGAAGCTCATCAGCTCACAGTTTTCATCATAAAATGTGGTACTAGAAAGATGAGATGTTTATTTTCGAACATTGGTTTTCTGTTTAATAAAACCAATGTTTTTAGTCTCCTGTGTTTTTAATCTCCTTCTAAAAAGCACTAGAATATGAATCAATTAAAATATTAGTTACACAAAATCTAAATTGGAAATTAAAATATTAAACCATGTAACAGTGTATGCCAAAAGTTTGACGTAGATACACCCCCCCACACACACACACACAAATATCTCCAGGCCCCAGATTTTTTTTTATTATTATTTTAAGGAACTTTAAAGATACTTATTTTCTTTGCTTTGTGTATAGAAGTTTTCCTCCAAGTATGTAGGTGAACCGTGAATTTGCAATGCCTTCAGGGACCAAAAGAGAGATCTAAATCCCTGGAACTGAAGATACAGTGCCCATGTGGATGCTGAGAAGCAAATCACAGTCTGGTGCAGGAACCGCTAGTACTCTCTAACTGCTGAGCCGTGTCTCCAGACCCATGATTCAGATATTTTAATAAAAATGTCCCATTGTTGCTATATTTTATTATAATAATACCCACCAAAACTTTTACCTTGCTTCACATTGATAAACAGACTTTTCAGTGTTTTGAAGAAATTCATCAAGGATATTTAGAGGAAAATTTGAAGTTTGATTTCGAGAGCTATTTAATCGGAAATTGTGACTGTAGAAAAAGTAAAGCTTTCCTTGTATTCTACATCAGACTTTTTCACATTGGAAATTCTTATGACATCAAATATAAAATGTAAATCATATTAACCCTTCTTTCAATACTTTGAATCTACTGTAGTTGAGTTGTACTTGGAATTCCAAATTGTATTTGTCAACTATCTGCAAAGAAAAGATACAGTTTTGCAAACTTATACAACATACTAATGCCATTTATTTCAATGCAGTTGTATCACTTTATCTATTGATTGAACTCTTTATTTAGATAAATATAAATTATTATGATATTCCCATTTGTCTTCTTTGTTACCCTAGAAATTTTAGTTAGTCCTGCATTTCAGATATACATATATTTGTAGGGGTTTGAATGAAATCGTCCCCCTTATGCTCTAAATATTTGGATATTTTGTTCCCAGTTAGAGGCCCTTCAGGAGGTATGGCCTTTCTGACAGAAGTTCATCACATGGAGTGGGATTTGTGAATTCCTAAGCCTTGCACTGGATCCCCCATCTGTTCTCTGTCTCCTATGCCTGCTTGTAGATGAGAACAGGGAGCTTCATGCTCCTATTCTGCCATTGTCACATCTACTATGAGGGACTCTAGTCCCTCTGTGAAATAGAACTGTAAGTTAAAATAAACTTATCTTCCTGTAAGTTCCCTTGTTCACAGTGTTTTCATAGCAGCAGAAGAGTTATTAAATATGTTGTATGTGTCCATATAAAGTGTACATATTTTCTTCCACATTTGTTAATTTTCTAAAATATGCATTTTTACTGAATATTTCTGTATTTCACACAATACATCTTAACCATATTTAGAAACTACATTTGTCTAAAGATGTCACAGAAGTAGGGATTTCTCTAGGATCTATGACTTCTCCAGTCAGGCCTATTTGACTATGTTTACATTTCTACATGAGTTCCCTCCCATTGAGTGGACTTATGTCCAGATAGTGAGCTGTTGATTGCTTTCAATATAAATGTGCCACTACTGCACCGATATAGTTTGCTGTTCTGGATGGTTGTTTGGGCTTTTCAGCTTTAAAGCTGAAGTTCGACCATCAATTGATTTTCTTCCTTAGAAGACTGCATTTGCTAATTTTTGTCATTTTTATTATTTTCATAATTGTAGTACAGAGGTGCATATCATTATAGGGTTTGATTTGCATTTCTCCAAATAACTTCTCAAGAAAGTTTATAATTTTTTATTTTGTAAGAATTTAATACACGTGTGCTGTGTTTACATCACTTCCCCCTCTCTCCTCTCAACACTTCTCATGCCTCCCTAGTCCCTCTGAATTTCATGACCTTTTCTTGGATAGTTATGATTACATACACACATACACACACACACACACACACACACAAATACAGTTGTCAACTTGACACCCCTTGGTTGAGGGAGCCTCATTTGGGTAACTGTATCTATGAGATTGGCCTGTGGCCATGTCTCTGGGACATTTTCTTGATTGCTGAGTAATGTTGGAGGGCTTAGCTCATTATTGGTGTTGCCACCGCTGGGAAAAAATGTGAAGAATCACAAAAGATTCTGGCTGGATTGTAAACACAATCATAAGCAAAAACAGTGATGCAGGGGATCACCAAACCGGTTCTCAAACTATACTGCAGAGCTGAGTCATAAAAACAGCTTAGTATTGGCACAAAAACAAATACATCAATGAAACAGAGTGATGCAGGGGATCACCAAACCGGTTCTCAAACTATACTGCAGAGCTGTAGTCATAAAAACAGCTTAGTATTGGCACAAAAACAAATACATCAATGAAACATCAAAGAAGACCCAAGAATGAGTGTGTGCATATTCAGCGACCTGATATTTGACAGTTTCCAGGAACACACACTGGAGGAAAGGCAGCATCTTCAACAAATGGTGCTGGCAAAACTGGATCTGTTTCTGTAGAACAATGAAGACCCTTATCTTTAGCCCTGCACAAACATCAACTCCAAATACATTAAAAATCTGAACAGGAACCCTGAAACTCTGAAACTGTTAGAAGAAAACATATGCAATACCTTACAAGATATAGGTATAGGAAAGGATATCCGGGTGTGTGTGTGTGTGTGTGTGTGTGTGTGTGTGTGTGTGTGTGT